CTCTGATGATGTCCGTCATGTGACGGAAGAAAGTTAAGCACCCTTTCACCGGAATCGAAGGAGATTTCCTCGAAAACAGCATCGGCATGAATGTTCCAGTAAAGCCAATCGACAGCTGGTCAAGAGGATAGACCATAGACAGACCAGGACAGAAAGGGGAGTGATGGTGTAACCGTTTTCGACAGAACATTTATCGAGGGATTGACTTCATTTGTCTCTTTGACGAGTTCGTAGCTTGGCACGACGAATGGCAAAACTGACTGATGATGCCGACTATGATGCCGGCGAAACGTCTGAGAATGTACCAACTCCATTGTTAGATGGTGGAAATCATGACAACTACTTTGGCTGACGACTTCGGACTCGGTTGGTTCTACATAGTCGCCCTGACAACAAGACCAAGTTGCGACAACGAGGTCAATATACTTCTATAAAAGATTTGTAGATTGATGGACAAACCGTCGTAGTAAAGCCCAATGGATACAGTACAACGGAACTCAGCCGTCGTCTTCCGGTGCGATCAAGCTATGAATCTCTTCTCCGTCTACTTTCATGCGAAGTGAAGGTCTCCCCAACAAACTGTGTAGAAGTGTCAAAATGGGTGAACTCACTTTTATGCAGGGTCGTCCGAGGCGGCAACAGAGACCCGACTGGTTTTCCGAGTAGTGACGGACCAGTTGCTGTACCGCGACAAACGGCAGCTGCCGAGAGATGTAGTAGCGCTTCAGATCGGGACTCGAGTGACTGATACGCGACCGGATCCGGTAGTGTTTCACCGCGTCCTCTTCGCGAACTAGTCGAAGAAGAGGCGGAGGGAGGAGGAGGAGGAGAAGGAGGAGGAAGAGAATGAGTAGTATAATAAGTAGTAGTGGTAGTAATAGTACTAGAATGACCAAGAGGGAGAATAGTTATCATAGCCGCCTACCGGTGCTCGCCAAATGAATGTGGAGAGATGGTTGTGAAGTGGTACCGGAGAGGAGTTGATGAAAGCGTGATGGCTTACTTCTGGCGTGAACTGGTCCTTTCAACAGCCCAGACGGGAATCGAACTTGCGTTCGGCTCGTGTAGCAGAGCCGCAGCTAATCGGTATTTTTATTGTGACATTGTCAAGGCGAGCATACATCTTACAGTAAGTACAGTTGGCAAAGCCATTTGTATGGAAAATGTACAGATTGTCTCGACGCCTTCTAGGACGACCTCGACGCAAGACGGAGAAAAGGGTACATCCGTCATTAGCGCGAATTGGAAGGAGCGCACCAACCTCGCGATGCCCCCTACATGTCATGTAGCTGGATGCATTTGAGGCAGCATGTGGCCCTACCATCTGCCTCCACAGGAGCAGACAAAACTAGACAATTCATTTTTTAGAAGGTACAAAGACCAAGATGGTGTGGCCTTTTGTGTGGTCGCAGTCTCCTTTCGTTGAATAGAAGTTGTTTGACCTTGGACCTTGTTGTCGACCCATGTGATTGTGGAGAAATTCAACTGCCATTCCTTCGTCACTTTAAACGAAATAGGATGAACACATCTTTTGTGTGATCCACTGGAAGTCGTTAAAAGCGAAAGATAAACAAAAAATGAATAGAAGTTGTTTGACCTCGTTTTCGCAACTCGGTCACATTGGTAGGAAGACTTAAAGAAACGTATCTAGTCCGGAGTCCATTGTATGCATCATCGTTTCCAGAGTAGGACCGTGGACGTGGTACATTCCCAGACGCATTGTCCTGAGTCCATTGTATGCATAATTATTTCCAAAGTCGGACCGTGGACGTGGTACATTCCCAGACGTCAAGTCCGGAGTCCATTGTATGCATCATCGTTTCCAGAGTAGGACCGTGGACGTGGTACATTCCCAGACGTTACCAGCATCGTAGTTGGCATCTTCAGTGAGTCTCACCATTCGTAGCACCATATTACAACTCGTCAAAGGGAGCTGCATCGTAGTCGGCATCGTCAGTGAGTTTTACCATTCGTAGTACTATCTTACAACTCGTCAAAGAGACGGGCATCCTAGTCGGCATCGTCAGTGAGTTTTACCATTCGTAGCACTATATTACAACCCCCCAATAGCATTCTAGTCGTCTGGGAATGTACCACGTCCACGGTCCTACTCTGGAAACGATGATGCATACAATGGACTCCGGACTAG